ATACATACATATACACACATACATACGTACTCACATACATATGTGCGTACATACGTACATACATACATACATACATACATACATACATACATAGGTACATACACACAACATGCACACATGTTAACACACACACACACACAAAGCCGCACACACGCACGCGCACACTTACACACCCACACTGACACACTGACACACTGACACACACACACACACACGCGCGCACTCTCACACTGGCACACATCTGTTTTGTGGTTTTCTGAAAGGTTCCATCTTGCTGGGTTCGACAGCGGGTCTCAGACGAAACGGCTGAGCAAGCCAGAAGCATAGCAGGGAGCTCGAGGGAGACCCCTAAGCTAAGCAAGCGGGATGCAGCTTAGATGGCCAAATTGCGGCGGTGCTGCATCGAATCAAAGCCACAGTGGAACAGCAAAAAAAACACTGGCGGAGTTTGATTCTGAAAAGGGCTTCAAACGCTGAACTCAGCACCCAAGTCCAAGTCCCCTAAGACCTGAGCCCCAAATCCGAGTCCCTGAAAACCTAAGCCTGAATTGAACTAAACTACTTGAAGGTTCATGGGACTTAGTAAGTACAGTTATAAGTACTTCAACTGGGGTGTAGTGTATAAGTACTTATCAGTACAGTTACCTTATTTACAACCCTAGGTACTAAGTCCCATGAACCATTAAGAACCTAAACCCTAAACCCTAGGTACTAAGTCTCATGAACCTTTAAGTACAGGACTGAAAACCTGCTTTTCCGTCAGGAGTGGCTGCGGGCGCAGAAGCGATCCTTAGAGGACGTCGCCTTTGCGGAAGTGCAGGCCTGTGTTGTGCTTTGTTCAATACAGGTAGGGCCTAGGGTCTATGGGTCTGGGTTAGGGTGTTTGGAATGTTTTTGGTATGTTCGTTGACAAGAAACTGTATAAGGGCTGAGAAGGTTTTTGTTTATGAAGTCGTTGTTAGTTTTTGTCTGGCGTGCATGTGTGTGTGTGTTTGATTTTCAGGGCAAGAAGAGTGGAATTTACTTCGTGTTGGGTTGTGGGCCTGGGCTTTTCATGTAGCTTCTGTTTCTTGCTACCGGGTTCTCTCATGTTTTGCTGAGAACTTTCAATGTGTTACTCAATCACTTGGCCCATCTTGAACTTCGTGTGTTACGTTACTTAAAGGTTCATGGGGCTTAGTAACTAGGGTTCTAAATAATGTAACTTTTCCTCGTAATTAGCCCCAATTCAGGTACTTTGTAAACGTACTTATTAAGTCCCAAGAACCTCCAAGTAGGAAACCGTAAACCCTAAACCCTAAACCCTAAACCCTATAAACCCTAAACCCTAAACTCTAAACCCTAAACATGACTAAGAAGAGCGGAGATCCGAAGCCTTGGAGCGCCTCCAAGATAAGAGCAAGAAAGTATACTGCAATCCCGGGGCTTCGTTCATGAACCCTGAACCCTAAACTCCCTAAAGCCTAAACCCGAAACTCCCTAAACCCTAAAGACTATACCCGCATCGTCGCATGTGTGGACCTGCACAATTACTGATGGTGTTCCCGCATAGTCTTTACAGAAGCATAGCATAATTCATCGCAGAACTGCTATCTTGGTCATAGAGGCCGTCATATTACATTCTGAAAAAAGCCCTGAACCGTAGAATCTCAAGCAACGCACGTGTCGAAACCTAAACTTTCACCCCTCCGTGCCCTCAAACTCTGAAACTCTTTACCCCCAGGGCGACCTGCTAGTCATACAACCTCACAAAGTACCCTGCGGCTCCAAATAGCCAAAAGAAGGTACCATTCATAGACTTTAGACCCCAAAGTAGGTACTATTTGTAAACTTGGAGCCCTCGGGGTAGGTTCCAACGGGAGTGTTTCCGAGGACTGCCGGCTTCAGTGGTAAAGGCTTCGGGTGTTTGCGATTTGCACGGAGGGGGAGCCCAGCCTTCGGTGTAGGATGTAGGGGTTTAGGGTTTATAGGGTTTTGGGTTTAGGGTTTATAGGGTTTAGGGTGTAGGGTTTAGGGTTTATAGGGTGTAGAGTGTAGGGAATCAGGATTTTTATTTGGGCCGAGGGTCCGGGAATTGCTCTATTTTCAGCATCTGCGGTACATGTAAGGTCGACTCATTCGCGGTTCCTTTGGGGCGTTTACATGCAGGTGTCTGATATGGCTTGCTTCGACTCCGTCAACCAGGAGTACAGTAGGCCCGGCGGCGTCAACCCCGGAGGTTGAGAGTGCAAAGTCCGTCGGTTTCAGGGAGCTTGGCGCTTCAGGATACTGTTGATGGTATAAACCCTGCATTACTTGAAGGACCCTAAACTATGGGAATTATGGTCTATTCCTTATTATGGGTAATGCAGGGTGTATATCATCAACCGTAGTTCGCACTGGTTGGTGGTTCAGGTTTTAAATTTCAGCATCCTACGCTCCTACACCTGCCCGCGAGATAGCAGACTCACAGTAGCAACCTGCGGGACAGGTCGAACCTATGTTATAGGATCCTAACCATAAAATTGGCTAAGCAAAAAAAGAACTTCAATGGAGACTATAGGAATGACCCGAAGGCGGTCTGGTCGTCCGAAGCTTAGCAGGGATTTAAGGTGATGCCAGTTGAAGAAATACTAAAGCTAAGCCACACCCCTAAACCTTAAATCCCAGGCCCCAAAACCTGAAACCATAAGCCATCTTGCATGTAATCCCCCTGACCATTCTGCGCTCGCGGAGGCATTTTACGTCGAATCCCCCTGCACGGGTTTGCATCGAAACTTCTCTGCCGGAAGGCAAGCATCCGCTGTGTCGGATTTGAGGACTTATCTATAGTCTCCATTGTAGTCGTTCTTTGGTTAACCTATATATATATATATAAGAGGATGCTCTCCATAAAATTGGTTAACCAGTGAAAGGAATTCAAATGGAGACTATAGGTAGAAGGCCTCAAGAATGCGGTAGTAAGTTGGGGTTTTCCTATTCAGAGTTGAGGGCTTTACGACTTGAGGGCCTAAACCCTACCTGAACCCCAAAAGTATGTAGAAAAATAGCCTTCTATAGGTATTGGGTCATTATTCTACCCACTTTTGGGGGCTAAGGGATACCCTAACTGCAGTCTCCTGGCTTCATGGCTTCAGGGTATCGGGCTTCAGGTTCCAAGTCAGGTGATGAGCGTACTTCAGTCCGGTCCCTTCGAAGTGAAATCCTGCGTTGGTTGAGAGCTGCCTGCTGCATAAGCCACCCGAAATAAGCCTCAAACCCATATGGGTGGTTGTCAAAATTATGGTCCCTTTTGGGGTCCTTATTATTTAATGGCTGCCGCCAATGCCGCCGACCCCGAATGGACACCAGGCAGCC